CCTGGAGCCCCCCCAAAAAACTAAAGACCCCCAGGAGCCCCCCCGTGCCTCCTGCTCCCCCCCTGGTATACCGAAGGAGCAGAAGGAGGCTGACAATCGGAGGCTGTGTGCTGTGGCGGCAGCGAATCAGAGCGCTGCGTCTTCGTCAGGGTCCAGCTCCTCCTCCRGCCCCCTGGCTCCGCCCACCGACGGCAGCGTGGACAGGGTTGTGTCCCAGCTGGTGACGGTAGCAAGGAGCGTCCTGGGTCCTGTCAAACTCTGCTCCAAGGACCAGAAAGTGTCCAGAGAAGCCCCGCCCACTGACACCCCCCCAGCGGCTGCCCCCCCGTCGCCCCACCTGTCCCCGAGCAGGCAGAGAGCTGATCGCCCCACGTCTCTGACAAGCTCCTCCCCCCAGAGGGACTCTGCAGCGTCAGGCGGAGCTGCATCTGAGCCTCAGCAACGAAGCTCCGCCCCCTCAACCACCGCCGTCGCCTTGTGTCCGCCGGGCCGAGGGTCCGGCAGGAAGACGTAGAGTTTCCTCCTGAGCTGCGTTAGCATCAGAAGCTGGAGGAGCTGACAGGAAGTGAAGGCCTGACTTCCTGTGACGATGGTCCTGACTCTCCACTTCCTGCTTCCTGTGGAACCACTTCCTGTAAGGGGCTGCAGTCCAAGCTTCAACAAGGTTCTGTTCAGGTCCTGCTGCCCTGGGCTCAGGACCACCCGGGTCCAGCAGCAGGTTCTGTTCAGGTCCGGTCACAGCCTCTGGATCCATGTTTCAGCACCGACCCGGTTCTGATCCGACTGCACAGCAGGGATTCCCTCAGCACCATGAACCAAACAGAAACAGAACCAAATGAAGGTTCTGTTGGGCCCGTTTGGGTCAAAAAGCAGCAACAGCTCAGGTTGATGTGAAGCCTAAGGAGCAGCAGGGGGCGTGGCCTGACCCAACTCAGACAGGACTTTTATTTTGAAGGGGACTTCCTTGCTTGTTGCTGCTCTCTTAATGTGGACCAGTTTCTTCAGAACCAGAACCGGAGTTCTCTTTAAAAATTGTCCAGAATAAAAAGGTCCGACTCRTTCTGCTTCTGTTCTGGTTCTGACCGTGACGGATCAGAACCAGAGGAGGTACTGACCCGTCTGAGGTTCTGCTTACAAAAACAGAACTTTTCCTGATAGTATGGACCTCCTGCAGTTTGGTTTACAGCCCTGTGTGTGTGTGTGTGTGTGTGTGTGTGTGTGTGTGTGTGTGTGT